GACGTGATTCTGCAATCTGCATTTGGGGTAAAAATTGGGAGTTCATAACCCACTTCAATCTAATGTATGAAATATGATATGTCAAGAGCTTTGTTATGTTGTAAACAACCAATAAAAAATTTAAAAAAAGTTTCTGGTAAATCTAAAATTTTTTGAACTATTTTTTAGTTGTTGATGGACCATTGTTTAATTTATTTATTTATATGTGGTGCTGAGGATCGAAACCAGTGTCTCACACGTGCTAGACAAGCACTCTACCACTGACCTATAGCCTCAGCCCAAGAGTTTATTTTTTTAATGGGCAAAAATACCTAAACTGATACTCTAAGAAGATATGAATAACCAAATAGTATGAAAAATGGTCATTATAGAAATATAATTTAGAAGGAAAATGAGGAAACATTACATAACCATTAGAATGACTAAAATTAAAAAGACTGACCTCCTAAATGGAACAAACAAATCCCTGAAAGACACAAACTTACCAAGGCACTTAAGAAGTAGATCGTTTATAAACCCATAACTCTCAAAGAAAGTGAACTTCTAGTTCAATACCTTGACACAAATAAACCTCCAGACTTAGCTAGTTGCAATGGCAAAATCCTATCAAACACTGAGGAAATAATTCCAATTCTATACCTTCTAACAGAAAATAGGAGGAAAAATTTTCCAGTAAGTAAGGCCAACACTACTCTGACAACAACACTAGACAAGAAGATTACAAGAAAGCAAAGCAGATCAATCTTCATCAATATATATACAAAGTTCTTCAACTCGTTTTTAAAAAAATGAAACCCAGTATTGTTCATGAATAGAACAATTTATCAAATGCAAAAGGCCTTTCCCCAGGAAGGCAAATTTGGGTTAACATTCAAAAATCAACCAATGTACTTCACCATAATATCAGAAGAAAACAGAAGAAGCACACAATTTTGTCCAGAAGGGTTATCTGATGAAATTTAAAACACGTAAGTAAAAATGTAAGACAATGGTAGAAATTTTATAATTAATATAGTTAAGTGTGAAAAAATGTTGGGCGTTGATTAATATGACAAGATAATCAAATCTTTGAAAATCATCAGGTACAAACAATTTTTTCATAACAGATTTAATTACTTAAAAGGAATTAAGAAATGGTCTTAAGTAGTATAGAGAAAGAGGAACAAAGGAAGGGAGGARACGAAGGAAAGTGGAAGTACTGAAGGTTGAAATGGAGCAAAATACATTTCATGCATGTATGAATATGTTAAAAAGAACACCACTATTATATATAATGCACTAATAAAAACATTAAAAACTGCTATTATAAAGTAATCCAATTTATTTCAGATGAATAATTTACTTGAGACAAGGAAAAGGTAGGTGGAAGAGGAGAACAAGAAGATGATAATGGCATTGTGCTAGATTTCTTCTTAAATTCAATGAGTAATTTCCTGATTACCCACTATGTGTCACTTTTTTTAAAAAAAATGGTATTTATTTATTTATTTGTTTGTTTCTTTGTTCTAATTAGTTACATAGGACAAACAAATAAAAAATGGACAGTAGAATGCATTTTGACACATCATACATAAATGTGGTAAATGAATGGAACTGAAGATATCATGTTAAGCAAAATAAGTCAATCCCAAAAAACCAAAGGCCGAATGTTTTCTCTGATATGAGGATACTAATTCATAATTGGGGGTGGGGTAGTTGCCAGAGAAGAATAGAGGTATTTGGACTACGTAGAGGGGAATGAAAGCAGGGGAGGGAGTACAGTACCCCTGTCTAGGTAGGACCTTAGAATGAATCAGACATTATTACCCTGTGTGTCACTTTCTAAATAATGGAAATATAGCAATGTGTGAGAAAGAGTAATCCTTCCTTTCACAGAATTTAGAGAGATGGAAAAAAAATAAATAAAATACATATCATATTAAAAGTTATTATGGTTTAGATTTTAAATGTCCCCTAAATGAGTTGAAGGCTTGGTTACCTACATGTGATACCACTGGGAGGTTGTGGAACTTTTAGGAGGTGGGTCTCAATGGAAGGAAATTACAGCATTGGGGGTATACCTTTAAAGGGGATATTGAAATCCCAGCCCCTTCCACACTCTCTTTGCTTCCTGGCTGCCATGAAGTGACAGCTCTGCACTCTCCGCCATGATGTTCTGCCTTGCCATGGAACCAGAGTGAATGGGGCTGACCATGGACTGAAACCTGTGAAACTGCTGGGTCAATATAAATCTTTCTTCCTTTACCTCCGGTATTCTGTCACTGTGACAGAAAGCTGATTAACACAAATGTCAGTAAATACTATGGAAAAAAATTTAAGCAGGAAAGGAGACACATGTACTGGGGCAAGATTTTCAATGGTGTTATTAGAGAACTAGAAGATTTCTGGGTTCACTTTCAGTTCAAACATCCAATGACTTTCTTCTACATTGACTAGGCAGCATGAAAACACACAGTAAACCTCTGAACCTGACCTCTTTAAACTCATACATTCTATCCCCTTACTCTTTCTTGTGTGTCAACACTTATATTTTAGAAAAACAGGATTAACCATACATTTTTCCATACTGAGACAAAGCGTATGTTGTCACTTAATAAAACAAGTAATTTCCCAATCTTGCCTTGGGAGAGGAAAATAAGAAAAATAAAACCTAGTGATTTCTCCCCAGACAAAAGTTCTAAAAATGCAGCATTTTTGTACTCAACATAAAGGATTAAAACTAGTTATTTTTTCCTCCCCCTCCAATATATTTATGGTCTGGAATTTAGACCTTACAACAAAAGGTGGTTTAACACTGTCTCTGGAATGGAAGATTTTTCATAAACAAGAAAAGTCACATGAATAAAAGAATTACTACTATAATTATTTTAGCAAACATATTTTTGTGGCTGATATGTGCCAAGTACAGAACTATTTTACATATTAGATTGAACAATAAGAAATTGCTATTTGAGCTGGGGATGTGGTTCAAGCGGTAGYGCGCTCGCCTGGCATGCGTGCGGCCCGGTTTGATCCTCAGCACCACATACCAACAAAGATGTGTCCGCCGAGAACTAAAAAATAAATATTAAACATTCTCTCTCTCTCTCTCTCTCTCTCTCTCTCTCTCTCTCTCCTCTCTCTCCTCTCTCCTCTCTCACTCTCTCTTTAAAAAAAAAAAGAAATTGCTATTTATAGGTCAAAAACAGTAATTTTATATAGTTTGAACTAATACATTAATTTCAAATTCCATAAGACAGAAGTTTGTATATATTAAATGCATCCTTACTTTTCTATGATTCTTATATTATCATCTTGGGAAACTTTTTTTGCTTTTATTTAGGGATGTAAAGGTTCTCAGCTAAGTGGTACAAATAAATGGAAGATGCTATCTATCTGTGATAGTTCAAGCAAGCAAATACTTAATTTTATCTAAAACTTAACTTGAAGATTTGAACTTTAAGTATCATGATCATGTGGCTTCATTTTATAAAAAGCTCAATTTATTAATCATGCCTACTATTCTGCTTATAAAGATTCTTCATTCCAAAAATGAGTTTTTGACCAAATCATACTGCATGCAGGTACACACATATAATATAACAAATCACACTATTATGTATATTTACAACACACAATAAAAATTATTAAAATAAATTTAAAAATTGATGATTTTTTCTCCAGAAGGAAGAATATAAAACAATCCAAAATTATACTAATTTCTTCAATCTGTTAATTTATATTAGGATTTCCATTTCTTTAGAAATGTTTCACTAAACTGGTCATGGTGGTGCATGCCTATAATCCCAGCATCTTGGGAGGCTGAGGATCCAAGTTCAAAGCCAGCTTCAGCAATTTAAGCAAGGCACTTAGCAACTCAGGGAGCTCCTGTCTCTAAATAAAATAACAAAAAAGCGCCCCTGGGTTGAATCCCAGTACAAAACAAAACAGAGATGCTTCACTAAACAGTATTTCTCAAAAAGAAAATACTGTACACAAACTAGCCTATTATGCTCAATCCAAATAAATTTCAAATTCATCTGTTAAAAGCAGTTTAGTCTCTAAAGTTTATTTTTTTTTCCTCTGGCAGCTATTTTTTATTCAGTATACAGTTCATGTTTACAGGTCAGATTTATGAAACATTCATAAAATAGTCTGTTCTTTTCTAAAATTGTATGTCATCTAAAATTTCATCTAACAGAATAAGGCAGGTACTTTGTACAGTATTAGCAGTTAGGAAAATTTATTTCCAACATTTAAATGCTGACAAACACTTTTAGTGAAACAATATTTAGAAAAAAAATAACAAAAACTACCAATAGTTTTTTTAAAAAAGAATTAATTCAAGAAGAATATGATAATACACTTAAGAAAACAATAAATTTAAATAAGTAAATATATAAAAACCTACCAGCTCATTGCTTGTAGATGTGAGTTTTAGTTTTTCTTCAATTTCCTTTCCAATTTTCTGAACAGTTACCTGAGTCTGCTTAATTGCACACTGGGCTCTATGAAGCCTAGAAATACAAGTTGCAGAAAAGCTTAAGTGAGTTAATTATAAACTCAACACAAAGCCACAGATATGATAATATTTCTAGGATAAATAGAATTAATAATAGACCCATAATTCACATCTATAATGAAAATATAGGGGGGGTACAATAAATCCTAAAATAATAATGCTCTAAAACACCTTTCTGTAYCTGCTTGCCTGCTTCTGATATATTAAGAGATAGAATGAAGGTCCTACAAGAAGAGCCCACAGGATTAATCCAGTCAAATCTTGTCACTCTACACATGTAGAAACTGAGGTCCAAAGAAATAAAGTGGATTGCTAAATTCTACCAACTGAGTACCACTGCTATCAAGGCTATTACTTACAGATACCCATAAGGATAAAAAGAATTCACAATCATTCCAGTTAAGAAGCTTAAATCAGCTGGACAAGGTGATGCATGCCTGTAATTCCAGCTACTCAGGAGGCAAGGCAGGACGATCAAAAATTCAAGGAAAGCCTGAGCAACGTATCCAGACCCTATGTCAAATAAAACAAATAAACAAAAAAGGTCTGAAAATAAAGCTCAATGGTAGAGCATTCCTGGGTTCAATTCCCAGTGCCAACCCCCAAAATAAACAAACAAACAAACAAACAAATAAATAAATGTAGCTTATACTCTGAAACAGGTTTTTAAAAAAATCTTATTTATTCATTTATTTATTTATTTTTGTACTGGTTGAATCCAGGGGTGCTTAAGCACTGAGCCACATCCACAGCCCTTTTTAAAATATTTTATTTATAGACAGAGTCTCACTGAGTTACTTAGGGCTTTGCTAAGTTGCTGAGACTGGCTTTCAATTTGTGATCCTCCTGCCTCAGCTCCCATGTTRAAGTTGCTGGGATTACAGGCATGTGTCACTGCTCCTGGTAATAGCAACTTTATTCTTGGGACAGAAGTCCTCAAAGAACATTGAAAAAAATGAAGAGCTGTTTTTCTTTTTCCTTGTAGTTTGTAGGACTTTTGCTTTTTGGTCTATCTTTAAATATGGTTTATATATTTCATAGGTCACAACTGGCATGTGGAAAATTCTTAGGAAGGTACAAAACAATGTACTAGAACAAACAAGTGAATTTTAGTAATGTCAGAGTATACAAGGTCAATATAAAAATAAWTCAATTACACTTCTATGTTAGCCACAAACTATTGGGATACAAAATTTAAAACAATACCTTTACAATAACATAAAAAATATAAAATACTTAGAAATAAAATAAACAAAAGATATGTAAGATCTGACCCTGAAGTTATAAAACACTGCTAACATATATTAAAGAAGAGCTAAATAAATGGAAAAATATATCATGTATACAGACTGGAAGATTGAATATTGTTAAAATGTCAGTTTTTGTCAAGAGACCAACAGTTTCACAATCCTAAACAAAATCCCAACATGCTTTTTTTTCTGTAGAAATTAAGAAGTTGACACCATAATTTACCTAATAGAGCAAAGAATCTAGAAGTGATAAATCAATCTTGAAATCTATCAGATTTCAAGACTTTCTATAGAGTTACATAATCAAGACAACAAGATACTGGCTTAAGGACCAAAAAAATAGATCAATGGCCAGGTGTGCCTATATACAGTCCCAGCCACTTGGGAGGCTGAGGCAGGAAGGTCACTTGAGTCCAGGACTTTAAGGCTAGTGTGAGCATCCAATCTCAAAAAAAAAATCAATTAAATCAAATAAAGAGTATATTAATAGAGCTACACATATATGGAAAATTGGTTTTTGACAAAGGAATCAAGGCAAATCAGTAAAGTTTTTAAATAAAATCAAAATTTTTAAAATAAAGTATAGGAATATTAAAAAAAACTTGGGAGAAAAGTAGCATCATCCTCTACCTCACAGCAAGTGAAAAATTAAATTAAGGAAGATCATAGTAAACAAAAAAGCTAAAATCATAAAACTTCTCACAGAAAATGTAGAAGAATGTCTTGCAACCTTATGGTAGGGAAGGATTTATTAGAAGACACATTTAAAAAATACAAATCATAAAATTAAAAATGGGCAAATTGGACCTCACCAAAATTAGAAGCATCTAATTCATCTAAAGATGCCATTAAAAAATGAAGGGCTGGGGATATAGCTCAGTTGGAAAAGTGTTGCCTCACATGCACAAGTTCCTGGGTTTAATTCCCAGCACCACCCAAAAAGGCATGGTTGCACACACCTGTAATCTCAGTGACTCAGGAGGCTGAAGCAGAAGAAGAGCAGCAGTTCAAGACCAGCCTCAGCAACTTAGGGAGACCTTGTCTCAAAAAAAATAAAAAGGGCTGGAGATGTAGGTCAGTGGTAAAGAGCCCTAAGTTGGAATAAAGGAAGGAAGAAAAGAAAGGAAGTGGGGGAGGGAAAAAAGAAAGGAAAGAAAGGAGGAGGAAGGGGAGAAAGAAAAATAAAAGGCAGGCCACARACTGGGAGAAAATATTTGGAAAACATCTATCTGACAAAGGACTGTGCTTGGACTATATAAAGAACTCTTACAAATCAATAACAAAAAGAAACAGACAAAATAGTGAAACAAACACTTCACAAAAGAAAATGTAGGTGGGCTCAGTGGCACAAGCCTATAATCCCAGCAGCTTAGGAGGTTGAGGCAGGAAGATCCAAGTTCAAAGCCAGTCTCAGCAATTTAGTGAGCTCTAAGCAACTTAATGAGATCCTTTCTCAAAATAAAAAATAAAAAGGGCTCGGGACGTGGCTCAGAGGTTAAGCGCTCCTGGGTCCAATCCCCAGTACCAAAAAGAAAAAGGAAATGTAATGGCCAACAACATAGAAAAGGTGTCTAACATCTTAGTCATCAGGGGAATACAACTTAAAACATTTCACAGGGATTAGAAAATTAAAATTAAAACGACAACACCAAATGCTGGCAAGGATGGAAGCAACTGGAACTTTTCTGCACCTCTTGAAAAAGAGTTAGTAATACTCTTAAATAAAACATTCTGAAAAACTGTTTTATAAAGTTAAATGTACATCCAATCTATGTCCCGGCAATTCTACTCCTAGACATTTATCCAAATGAAAATATATTTATATAAGAAGATTTGCCTAGGAATGTTTGCAGAAAACAATGCAGTGTCCAGAATTCCACAGTAAAAGTCTACTCAGCAATAAAAAAAAAAAAAAAGGGAAGGTAACATGAATACACACAATATGGATGGATAAAAACTTTGTGCTGTGTTGTGGGGGAAGCCCCAGACCAAAACGCACATGGTGTATGATTCCCTTTATACAAAGGTCAAGAACAGATAAAGCCATTCTATAGTGACAAATCCAAACAGTGGGATGGGGTCTGTTAGTGATCAGAAGGAACAGAGAACTATCTGAGTTGATGGAAATGTCCTACATAAACATTAGGAGGAGTATAGCAAAACTCAGAAAATTTACATGTAAGAATTGCACATTTCACTACGTATAAATTTTACTTTGTTTTAAAAAATTGGTCATCAACCCTAACCTGAAAATAATCATGTATGTGGGAAGTTCATTTTATTAAGGATTTGATGGCACTAATATCTCTGCAAACATTATTATCATGATGACACTGCACACTAAAAACATTCATGACTATTCTGTACTTTTGAAAATTGCTTGATAGTTATTGAGAATTTCTTAGGTCACTTAAAAAGGGCCAACTCTCAAAGAATCCATGAGAAAGATACCCCACCCCATAGCCACCTGCTCTGGCTGTGTATGTTTGTTTATTTGTTTTTAAAAAATATATATATATATTTAGTTGTTGATAGACCTTTATTTACCTATTTATTTTTATGCAGTGCTGAGGATTGAACCCAATGCCTCATACATACTTGGCAAGAGCTCTACGACTGAGCTACAACCCCAGCCCTGTATGTATGTTAATCAGCACTGATGGTAATACTTTCTTACAAAGGCACCTCTAAAGAAATTTTAAAGAAAGAGAAAGGCCTTTGGGCAGTGATCCCTGCCTAAATCTCCAGCCTCTGTTTTCTGATATTCTTTACCTTGCACCATCAACTCCAACAATACTACACTACTGGCAATTTTCCAAACATTTCACACCATTTCTCACTTCCACACCTGTGTATGAGCTGTTGCATCCACCTTCAAGTTCTCCATGTCCCTTAATAAGTAAATAAACTCCTAATCCATTAAGAGGCAGCTCAAGTACAGCCTCTTCTTCAAAGGCCTTCCCTGACTATTCCAACAGGTAGAGGCACTCCTTTCTCCTGGAAATACACATCACTTCATGCATGACATGCACAACAAGTAGTATTACAGAAATCCATTTTACAGCAACTGTTGGTTCCCCCTTTCTGTTTGTGTACTAGATCTTTCTAAAGGGGGGAAAATCCCATTTTCTCATATATATTCTAAATGTTAAGCACAGAACACAGCACAAAAGAGGCACTCCAAATATATTTGCTAGCTGAACATCTAATGTCTAAATATAAAAGTACAGTCCTGAGATTTGTTATTTTTGCTTGATATAGTAGAGTTTAATTGAAATATCAATGTGAATTTTCTACTTATAACTTCAAAATATTATATCAAAACAAAAATCACACAAATTAAAGACCATTCTTTCAAGTAGAGAAATAAGAAATTTTTACTAAAAATGATAGACATTATCAACCCAGAGGAAAGATCAACAAAACAGCCTGTTACTTTAAAAGGGGGAGAGTGCTGCCTAAGACTTCACTGCTATGCAAACAACCTTGTCAAATGGTAAAGACTTTAAAAATAAAAATGATTCATGACCATAATTAATGTATGACTTCAACTATTTGGCTCTCACTGCCCCAGACGCTTTCTGATCTTACCTTAGGGGCTTAAAACACACAGACAGAGTCACATTTCCTCCAATCTTCAGTGTTATCCAAATAGACTTTCAGAGCCCCTGCTACATCAAGACAGCTAATAAGGTCCCCCTTTCAAATCCAACAGGAGAATAAAAGTTTGAAGTGTTTAGGCTTT